GATATTATCGTAGAACCAAAGTAGCTTAGGTGACCTAACTTGTTAGTTAGTAGTTATTACAAAAAAACACCGTCCAAGAAGCTTGTTTCTGTGTTTTTCTTAGAAAAAATGGCGTTTCATTTTTAAATAGACATTTTTTACTCCATGCTAGTGACGGAGTTATTTAATAAGTAAATAACACGACCTAGTCTAGAAGTTATATGAAAAATTGTAAGCATTTTGCAGTTGTTGGTTGAGAATTCCTTAATTACTTTATATTGTGCTATGTATATTAGTGTGCTTTCAAATTAGCCTTTATGCTATATCTTGTGTTACCTAAAAAATAAGTATACCATAGCGTTCAAAAGTACGGCTAAACTCGCTAAGAGAGACGAAGAGAAGATTTTCACGTAATATATAGATTGAGAACCTGCAACAGATATTAGTTCTTATTTATTACTAACGATAGGTACTTAAAAAGTATTTTTTTTTTAATTATGCTTACTAGGGTAGTATTTTTTAATATAAGATATAATATAATTGGAGTCCAATCCAGAGAAACGAGGTGGTTCTTAGTCAGTAAGAGTTTACACTCTCGCCTCCCAAGGCAAGAGAAGTCTTATTAAGGCTTTCTTATAGGATTATTATTCCCCCTTAACACGTTAAACGCCATGGCAGTCACCGGTGACCGACATTAGCGGAGGATTTGCCTTCAACAGTTTTTTATTGGCAGCCAATGCCTTAAAATACTCAGTTATTACTGTGTCCCTACTGAAGTATCTTATATCTGTAATGATTTATAAGGCTTCCATTTTCCATTTAAAGAAAACTTATAAACCAATGGGATCATTTTGTGAAACTCCTTCGGTATTGGAATGATTTAAGGTAATATTCCGAAGGCGGCAGCAGACTGCAGTTTGTGCAACTTCAGCCATTTGTGTCAGTTGTGTAGTAGAGCTCTTTCCGAGGAACTCGGCCACGAAAGTATCAGCATAAATATCGTTCACTTTTCCCGAAGAAGTAAGCTTCAGTGTACCCCGATACTCCCATAATAATATGACGTATCCTTTTCCTTCACCCATACTTTTTAGTTATAAAATAATCTACAGATCAAATAATATTGAACATTTTTAAAGTTTGCTTTATGTATCTATTATTGCTAAGTTACTGAACTGTTCTTTTACAACATAACACCATTAGAGTAGCTAGTAGGCAGTCGAATACCACGGGGCGAACACTTAAGTAATTGCTTTATAGTGTAACATATTATTGGTAGTCGGATAGTTGCATTATATTGATCTCCATTAGTTACTAAGTTACATAGAAGCATGCATACGAAACCACTACGAAGTACCTATGTAATTGAAATTGAACCTACGATATGTGTACCTAATTCGGAACTACAACAATGCTTTGAGTGGATATTGAATTTACTGTTCTATACATCGCATTTCTGCATTCTTGTGAGATGGAAGCATGCTGGTTATGTGTGTAGCTGTAATTACTTTTCGTCAGTTATTAAATTATATCTCGGACCCAATACCCGGATACTTTGCCATATAGGTAGTATTAAAGCTGTACCGATAATCCGCACTTGATACCCATTTGTTTAAAGGGGAATACCATCGATTAACTTCTCCCGCCTACGGTGAGGTGGGAGGGAGTGTCAGACTCTTACTGACTAAAAACCACCCCATTCCTTCTTCTGCACTTCGAGCTGAAGCCCCGGTTAAGTTCTCCGCGGCTTTGTATCGGCATCAGCCCTGGTGGTGGTCTGATGGCTCTTTGTAGAGCGCGCGGAACGCGATGCGTCGCATGCTCGGGTCTGGTCCTGGGCCTTTAGCCAAACGCCACTTTAGCGCTTGTCTACATACAGAGTAGAAATCAAAATGTATGGGGATGACACTGACAAGTGTTAAAATTTACGTCAATTCCATATAATTTGGTTTTCTATTTTACACGTAGACAAGCTCTAAATGACATTTGGCTACAGCTGCTGGTCGGGCGACGAGCTACCCATGGCTATGCCTTTACGATGTTAGGTTCCTTGTTCCAATAACATACTTTCATAAAATTTCAGATAAATACCTGGCTGGCAATAAAGTATTCCAACTCATGCTCATGCTAAGGACTTTTCTGTATTAATTTGTTTTTCTTCTTTTTTGAAATGTATAACGCCTTAGTTTTATGACTGTAATGTTATACTATTTAATTGAAATAAATAAATAATAAAAACGTAGCGCTAACGTTTTTAGGCAATGGTTGCAATACAATGGTACTTATTACGCAGTAGGCCAGTAAAATGGCTCTAAAATTATCGCGCGGTCTCCTCGCGGTAAGGAATCGCGTTTTGGCTGCGTACTTATTTTATAGCTATTTAAGCTTTATTAACTGGTCTACAACGTGTGCAGTGCTAGTGACCAAATCGCGTGGTCGCCGATCTATTTTATGTCATATAAAGATGACGGCAGATGTAACAAACACGCCTCTAGCACATCTCCAACCCAGCAATTAACTTTCATTTAAATATGAACTGTGAATCGTGTGTCGTATGACATATTTCGTAAAGTTTCCGAAGAAATAACGTCGTGCCGGAGCCATACGTGAGCCGTGCCGGAGCCGTGTTTAGCAAGCACGTACTTAGGTGTGTGATGGCCTTAAGAGCGCACTTAATAGACTCGTTCCTCGGTTTTTAAATATAATCGTTTGTCAACTCAATTTACAGCTTACACAAAACACATGTCAGTTGCCATGGCAATCAAATCAAAAGACTATTAGTACAATTAAAGCGGTTATACCTAATTTGATTTAAAAAAATATATAAGTAATTCGAAAACGATTCGATTGCTTCGTTGGCCGAGTCGCAAGTACGACTGCCAGGCAAGGGCTCTCGGGTTCGAATCCCGGGTCGGGCAAAGTAAATCTGGAATGGTGCCCGGTATAGGCAATAGGCTCACCATTAATAACATAAATAGTGAAACCTGGGTGTTACATTGTGTAGTGGCATTAAGTGGTGTATTGTGCACCTCTGCCTATCCCTTCGGGATAAAACGCGTGATATAATATATAACTCTAAAATCAATCAAATATTATGTTTTTTTTGTTATTTTGGGTTTGACGTCTTTGAACTAAATGCATATAATAAAGCTATAAGACTAAGGACTCACGCACGATTTTCTTCCGCGCCCGCCGCGTTTGCGGGCCCACAGTATATGTTGAATAAAGGAATGTATGCAAAAAATCAAAGCACAAATCACGACGCGTTTTACACCCGCGGCGGTCGCGATTGTTTGCGGATCCTGCTACACCGGCGGGCGCGACCACCACGGTCTGGCGACCCCGCAGCCGCGGCGGCTAGCACCTGCGCGCTCTGCGAGCGGTTGGCGGCCGAGGCCGGTCTGGAACTCTACTGATTGTTTAACCGCCCAACCGTCTTGCGATAATCAACCGCCAAGTCTGCGAGCCGCAGAAAACTGCGGTCTCATGAGTTTTGAGAATTACGCCTCCATTCCGACACCGCGGTGGGCGCGAGAGAAGATCCTTAGTCCTTAGTCTTCAGAAAGCTAAACTGCTGAAACTATGTCTAGGTCAGTAAATCGCCACTCCATTATTGTCCTACTTATATTGCAGTCGAATTAGAAAAATACCAAGTCCGAAAAGCTGGGAAAAGATTATTATGTATATCGTTTTTGATGAAAGAACTTGTCAACCTTGACGAAAAGCACGAAAATCCCGCGATTCAACAGAAAGCCAAAGCAATGGTCCCATGTACCTACTCAACACTACAGAATTTGAAGCAAGTATATCTTAAACAGCAGAATTAACTGTTTATCTGACACATCGTGTCAAACATTTAAATATGCTAGGAAATTACGTCTTTTATGTTAAATAGTTTCTATCTACTTGAAATATATTTTTTGTTTAGTAACAATATAGGTAGGTACAATAGTTTTAATAAAAGAAATTACTTACGTTCAACACAGTGCAGAATTTGCTATACGTACTTACCTACCTACCTACTAACGGAAATTAAAGTTTAACTAATAAATATGAAAAATTACAATTACGAATCAACCCTAAGTTAATAGCATTAGGTAACTATCCACTAGTTTACAACTGCGCGTCCCTAGTGAGCGGCAATCTAATTCATTAAAAGTTGAACTTTCCAATAACATGTGCAAGGTCGGGTGAATGAACAAAAGTTGACCTTGAAAACTTTGAAGCCTTGAGGCGAGAGTAGCGCTATCTACATTTTGTAGGTGAACCGAGAGAAGCGCCATCTGTCGATAGCAATTTGAAAATGGTGACATCAAGCCATCTGTGTTTCGAGACTAGAAATTCTAATTTCAAATTGTGTTTGCGTTTTCACGTACTTATCTAAATTAATTCTTCTTGACTTTTCTGAATTTATTTTAATGTTGTTCTAGATAGGTACTTGCTAAATTGTCGGAAGAATTAAAAAAATTGGTTTTGTTTCTTCTCTTAGAATTAAGTTATTTTTTGTAAGTGTGATTTTTTGATTTATCATTGTCTGGCATTGACGTAAACACCAGAAAAGACTTCAAGAGGTTCTAAAAACCAAAAAATAATATGTACCAAAAAAGACGAACAGTTACACAAATAACAGACTATAAAATCAGTCCCAAATAATATTTATTATTATTTCATGCCTTACACGATATATCAAATACGCTATGACATTTATTGGAAAAATAAATATAATTTTTTTGTTCATGTTTGATTCACAGCTTCGTTCAGCTTTGTTGAATACGATTGCCATTAGCTGAATATAAATTATTTACAAGACGTGGATTACGTTCACATTACAACCGAGAACATTTCCAAACATGTGCCGTACATATATCTTGTTTAAAATTGATTTTAATGTTGGTGTCACCGTAGGTGAGCCACTAGCTGCCGCCACATAACACCGTCGCGTATTTCCTACACATTTTTTTTAAGGGTGGGAAGTCACCGAATGACTGCTTCCACCTGGGTGAGGCGGGAGGGAGTGTCAGACTCTTACTGACTAAAAACCACCCCGTTCCTTCTCCTGCACGTCGAGCCAGAGCCCCGGTTACCCGTTAGGTCCTTCGCGACATTTCCTACAGTTTAGGTACATTTTTGAAAACTAGCCGCACATGGTTATTTAGTTAACGACCAGCAGTAGCGTCCACCGTCCTTAAGTTACCTCCATGGTAACATCTAGCTTCTTGCAGTGGCGTTTTGTGGCTGCGGCTGGTGGCCCGTTTGCGGTGACATTGTGAGACATCTAAAAAACCTAAAATAAATATCTAATACAACCTTTTATTGAATTCCTAAATTAAAATGTCATCGTTAAGTAGTTACATTTTTGATTAGTAAATGAAAATTGTAATTATTAGGCGGATTCAAGTCGATTGTAAATATGAATTAGGTGTTGCACATATAAAAGATTTTATCATGCATTTTCTAAATCGTATTAACAGGCTACGAGTAATTAGTACTACATTTTAAAAGCTTACAGCAGTTTTAGTTCTTATGTTTAATTTTAAGATCGACCACAGCTTTACCTTAATGCGTTACAATGCATAAAGTATAACATAGATTTATAAATTAGCCTATTATTATGATGGCTAAAATTAAACAAATTAGAGTAACATCACTGTTGCATGTTCGACAAACAATTCAAATGATCAACAACTGGAATTTGTAAATACGAAGTTTATTAATTTGTTTGGAACAAACTATTACCTAGGTACATAATTGTCTAGCAGCGCAATGTGAACGATTCCTCGTGAAAACTATTTACAATTCAAACTATAGCGCTGTATAACATCGGTTTAGGTACGTGTGATAACGTGTATGTAGCAAATTTATTAGACAACATTGCATAAGCAATGGCTATCCTACCGTTAGGTAAGACCTACCTACCGCAGACCAAGGAATTGTTGCTGTAGTGATAAATATCTGTACTTTACCTAACCAATATAAATAGCTACAAACGTTATAAAGATACATTCCATTAAGCATATTGATAGTAATACTTAAGGTAAGGAAGTATACAAATTAGCATTCAATCACACTGCCTTTACTGAAGGGGCTGAGTTTCAAACACTTTATATCTACATACATAAAAAATCAACTGTTTATATCACAGTGGTTGAGAATCGATTATAACTAATGATTGAGATTTCATATTTTATTGATATGAATATAAGTTTTATTAGCAAAATAAATACTCTTAGAACGATTTTAGTACCAAATCGATTTAAGCCTGTTTTTTATCGGCGTGACTTGCATTAATCGATTATTAGCTTCTTAATTCATGTCACTTCATTTGAATTGAAATATTATCAGTAAGTAATTACTTTTGTTGTATGTAAAATATCTATCTACGCATGTGTATATTTGTTAATAGTTATCAGTCACGATGCAGAATGGTAGTAGTATATATACACAGTTTTATACACAATACTATTCAAGTGTTGAAAGTAAGTAAAACGTATTCTACGAAGACCTTTAATTAGTATTACTGATTATTGTAAAGTTAAGTAGTTAGTTGTTAACGAGTTCTTATTCGTCCCGGTGTCTACCGGCTGCAAGTAATATTTAAATGTGATCTACGTTTTCTATGACAACCATATTCTGACTTTTCCGTCTATGTCAAGGCATAGATTTAATGTACAATACATACTAGGATATCGATGTGAACAAAACAAAACTTCATTTATTAAACGTATGTATAGAAATACTTTATGATTTACATTTCAATTGATATGTGTGTCTTTCTTTATAAGTATTTAAATATTTTAAGGACAATAAACGCTTAGAATTTTTCAATAATAAGTTCATAAATAAAACGATATCCGCAAAATAAGTTCTACTTATCTTATGTTCTGTGTATAAAACGGTAAATAAAGATGATTTATAGTAATTATATTATCTTTCACGCATCCCACAGTTCATGTGCATAAGTCACTAAGTACACTTGTCACCAAGTGCAAGTCGACTTGAAACCGTGACTACAGTCTACCTTAATTAAAATATTCTAAGTACTAAAATATTACTTTAAAATTAAGAATTTTAATTTGTTAGGAGTAGTCATGGTCAAGAATATATTGGAATGATTCTCTCTCATACAAATCTAAGTTCATAACATATGCTCACAAAGCAATCGAAAATTGTTCATACTATACTGTCATAACCAAATGAATGGAATGAGAGCTACAAACCTAAAATTTTATTTATTTATTCAAATAAACAAATTAGTAGAAATCTAAGAGAAAGTTAAATATTATCTATTTTATCTAAACATTATTTAAATTAAATCACTAGATCCGGTATTTCGTTAAATATTCACCTTTTAGCATAATATATTGTTCCAAATGCATTCCTGTAGTCAGTAGCTCTCAATCTATACTCGGTGCGACATGCAAACAGCGATTAACAACGAGACTTATGAAAATTAATTGTAAAAATATTATAACAAACTATTTTATTGATACCATAAACGATATCGCCTGCAGCGAAAAATTTATAATATTGCTATAAGTATGAAAACTATACGCGGTTTTAAATGGAAGTCAATCTAAACCTAAATTTTCTTCAATGCCTGTGGCTGAAGTAAGCTAATGTAATACGTTGATGGTATTATTGTTAGTTTTGCTTAGTAACCTATTCTATATAAATGTCTTCAATTGGATACGCCGTCTCTATAAATGTTTGGTAGAATCTGTGGAACGCTCTCCTGAAATTAAAGAGAAAAAAGTTACATTAGCTGAATCTTTGGCAGTGATGAGATAAAGCAAACGATGCAGTTTTATGTTACGAAATGTGTAGTTTTAATTTATCACTAAAAATTTGGTACAACTGTTTTTACCACTGTGACAGATAAGATAGGGACCACGGTTAAAAAAAAGAAAGGTCTTGTTACCAACTTAAAATAATAAAGGTGAGATTATACTGTAGATTCGAACAGAAAACAATCTATTAATGAGACGCAACAATCTGTACCATATTTTAAGCAATATTTGGCTCAGTTCTAAAGTCAGTTCAACATAGTGTCGTGTTGAGTCAATAATAATTATCATAACAAAAGTGGAGAGATTATAATATATGCTTGTGGCAAATTTTGGTGATATCCGGTCTCAGAGAAACTTGAAAATGATGCAATTTAGCTTAAAACCGAATAAGATGTAAGAAATAAGAAAACCAGGTTAAAATACGACGCAAAAGTAATTGATTACTAAATCGGAACTATATAAAAGTGAGAGGTTGAAGTGAAATAGCACAACTATAATTAGATCTAGGTACTGATATTATATTTATTTATTTATTTGCACTTTATTGTACACCATAAAAACATACATAGAAAATAAACATAAAAGAATGTGTACAATGGGCGGTCTTATCGCAGAATGCGATCTCTTCCAGATAACTCCTGAATACTGGCTCCATAGCCAGTATTAAGAGTAAAAAGGGGTCGTCTAGTGGTGTATTGTAATATAGTTTTGTAGAATGGGTGGTGTGTGTTATTACGAGTGCACTTACCCCACAGCTTCAGCTACGGGCCTCGTGGATTCCTGACCTCTGAAGACATGGCATGCGAACCTCTGCAGCGTCGGGTGTTTCGTGATAAAACCCAAGTACCTGTGGTCTCGCGGGTGAAACGCACAGAACGAAACATTCTTTAGGGAGTAGAAGTAGTCGATACATGGCCCGTTTCGATTTCTCTGAAAAGTAAATCAATGAAGGTGTATTCTAGGTTCTATTAAGGCCAAAGACAATGACAACAACAACAAAAATGCGGTTAGTCGAGGTTAGTCGCAACTCTTCCATAGTTCTATGTAACTTTACCTATTCTACTTTATTTTATATTTACAGTATTTTTTTAAGGTATAAATATTTTAGTCCATAGTTATTTATATTTTAAGTTGTACCTATATATTTTCTTTTAGTAATAGTAATTTAATGAGTTATGAACTTTATGTATTAATTACGCATTGTATTTTACTCAGTAAGTACTGATGTAAGCACTAACGTTAGATAAACTTAAATAAACATTAAAAGTAAACAAAAAATCTATCTTAGTTCACACCAAATTGCACAATATTGTGTTACCTAAAATAGCAATTACCTAAAATTGTAGCATTAAATTATTTAAGGCAATGGTGCATACTTATTTATATGTACAAACTTCTTTTCACCGAAGCGAGTCTATTGACATGCGCCGCATAATTTCAGATTATTTAGTGAAAGATTTTGGAAAAAATAGTAGCAAAAATATTTATCTCAATCCGGAAATGAAGTGAAACAAATTTAATTATAGATAACGTATTTTTTACTGAAGTGATATAGGTAATATTATTATAAATTGTGCGCCTGTTTTGTTACAACCGCAAGTAACGTTTTTGTGTTATAGCTTGTTGTGATGCCACAGGCGCTTAACGATAAGTGATTAATTATCTCGCCACCATGATTGAAACTGATTGAAGATGATGTAAAGATAATGGTTAAAAGTACCTACGTACATGTACCAAGTACTTGGTTAATCGTGTAAATTCTGGTATAGCATAGTGACAGGCAGTGTTGTACCTACCTAATACAGAAATCGTGAGGACCCGTGTAAGCAACACTGGTTCAAATTATTTATACCAAAAATAAAAAAAACCCATGCATTTGTTGTGTTTTCAACACAACAATGTATGGAAAATCAACATTTATTGAAACGTCTTCAGATCCCATATGGTATTTAAACGTTTTATTTACCGAGGTGGAATAGAAGAATCTATATTAAGTTGGTTTGACTAATATTGTACCTACATGTGTTAGTGTCGTGGTCACTCCCATACAGATTTTTATTTTATTTATTTTTCAAAACATGGCAATGTGCAAAGAAAAAATATTTTCATTGTTTTGCATTACGCACGGTGCTACGAAATAGCGTTAACAGGTGCCTGCTAGCACTAATGTGAAGCATAAATGGTTCATGCTTCTACGACTGTTTTGTTTATAGAAAAATAGAAATATGAGTAATTACTTGAATGTTTTCAAAAACCCTGGTGTAACATAAACCATGGACCGACCAACTGTGCTTTATGATGTAAATATAATAGTTGATTGATCGTTTGACTTTTGTATAATCTTCACGATTATTTAGGTACTGAAGCAAATATTCTTAGACCAGTTTATTTCTGGCGATTGTCTCAGTCTTATTTATAACTATAGGTTCAGTGTATAATTTTTGTTTTTCTTATATTAACAATCTTGATCACAAGAATATTGCCACCGTCTATTTTGAAGCGATAGCTGTGATGTCCCATTTTTTTTGTGAGATTGAATGATTTAGTAATTGACACATAAATCACGGTTAAGGAAATAAATAGGACTTTACATCATCAGCCGGAATACGGCACTGGTGAAAAAGGGAATAAGTTCTCCCCAGAAATGCCCATGTTTGATGGGTATATTTAGCATCGTAGATAATCTAAAATTATTTATAGGAGACTTTCGCTATCTAAAATTAATAGGTGTTTACGTGGTTAGCCAGGTTTTTTTTGCCTCACCCGCTAAAGTTACTAAGTTTTATTATATTGAATACTTACCGCGGGTTTTGATCGATCTACCATACGAAGCCCGTGATCTGATACTTCTAAAATACATGGCTGCATTGTAGGCTCCGCATTACATTCCGAAACTATCTTCCTCACTGCCTGGCAGACAACTCCCGTTCCTTTATGAGCCGATGTCTCCACAGACCCCATGTACCTGCCACAAAACAACTACTTTAGAAAACAAATTATAATAATTATATAAAAACATATTTTGAAAAATATTTAAAAAACAAATTAAAGAAAAACAATATAGTTCTTAAACGATACAAATTAAGATCCAGTATTTAGCACACGTAAGAAGAACTCGACTAGTTTCAAGCCATACTAGAAACTCGTACTATCGTAGCGCGACAGTCATCGCGGGTCGCGGAATGCTGCTCAAGCCTTTAGCGTGGCTTGAAACTAGTCGAGTGCCTCGCTAAACAATAACGTGAGTAAGGCGAAAAACATAATATTTAATCTAGTATGGCTCACGAAAGTTACAACATAAAATATTTAGTATTTAGCACCTTAGACTAGGTAAATTATTTACTTATTTCGATTTTCTAATTGTCTGATTAAATCGAAACGAACCAACAGGTTAATAATAACAGCTTAGCAGGCCAACTATACATAACGTATCTCGATATCACACATGTATCACCATTCCCGAAAGGTCATTCAAAGGTGAACAGTATTCAACGTAACCTTCCCTTTTTACCAGTTACGTTATCGATTTCACCTAGGTTTGGATGAATCTATAGTCATTATATAGAACAACGCCAAAGTCTAGACTTACGCAAGCAGATATCGTTCCTTTTTGTCTTTAGCGTTAGCAGGATCGAAGTCATTGTAGTCCATATCTACGGCGTAAGCTGACGGGAAGATCCCTTGCTGCCCTGTCCTTAGGTTGACACCTGGAAGTCAGAAAATTAAAAGTTGAATATACGTTTTTAAACGTATATTATGAGTATTAAACTGCCGATGTTTGTAGCATAGTATCCATAAGATGTATGTACAAATGAAAAAGTAATTACATGTGCTAAGGATGAGAATTGATACACAATGTCACCACAAGTCTAAACGAAAATATGAGAGGATAATGTGTGTATATTATTCTATTGTGCCACCTTGATGTAAAAAAAAATTTAGGCAAGAGTATTGTTTGGAAACCTCTCGTACATATCAACTACGTCGCTGGAGGCGGCACGTGCAATGGCATAAGAAGGAAGGACAACGCTGCGCAGGGTGCAAAATGTACGAGGATCCAGCTCGAAGGACCAATATGTTAGGGAGGGATTTTTGGGCTGTATAATTGATGATGCTGTTTAAATATATAGGTACTGGTTTATTGTACTGTTGGTAAGTGTGCTTTAACAAGTATAATCAAAAGCAGATGATAGACTTGGTAAAATTGATCCACACTGACACTGACCAATAAAAGCAGTCCGCAGTAACTACAGTGTACAATTTCTAAGTTATATGTATAGTTATTATTGTAACTGATTTTGATTATTGAGCAACATGACGACTAACGTACTATTCATCCTGCTTGGCGCTTTAAAATATTTTAACTGAGTCAAAAGTATTACCTTCACACCATAAATCTTCAGCTTCTTTTTGTACGTATATGGGGTCGCCAATTTCCACTTCGATTTCATCGTGATGTCTAGGGTTGAACTTGTGTAGGCCTCTGTGCGTAGCTTCAAGCATTTCGAGTTGACTGTGAGGAATATTTGTCATGTTTCCAGCAAAATTGAGGCCGCTGATGCTGCAACTTGAGGCTGGAGATACTGGAAATTAATGTCATGAAATTGTAACTCCCATTTTATTCGTATGTACGTATTGAGTTTGTAGATTTTGGAGGTGCAATTGCACGTTCCAAAAATTTTATATAATTTTATTCACAAAATATTGTCACATATATACTGACACCATTGTCTTCTGATACTGCCACCATTTGTGGTGTTATGTTATTGACTTATTACAATAGGGGCCGGTACCAGGTTTGGTCCTACAATTCTAGATATCGTTTATATATAAAGCGTTAATATAAAGATATTTAGGTGCAATAAAATATCAAATTCGAACAAAGTTAAATGTAAGAAAGTCTTTTTAAACCTTTAGCTTTCATTTGGTTCAGTATCAAGACGTTTCTAATTTAAAAGAAGCCATTCTAGAACAATGAGGTCATAAACCTGTCCCGACCGCTCCCACTAGCGTCGGGCATTAAGGTAAACATAAGCTATGTGCACTAACCATTTTGCTGTAGCGGAGTCGGCGATATACTCTTGGGTCCTGTATCGATCGGCGAATGCGCAGTGCTGTGTCCACTGTCTACGTCCCCAAGGCTTTGCAATCTCTCCGAGTCGGGGCTAGAATCTTCATCCAGGAGATAGCCGCATTTTAGGACCAGCAGTGGTCTTGTATGACACCCAGGCCTGACCAGCACCCCGGTAACTTGACCGAGCTCGTCTGCCAGCGACGTTGGCTGACTGCATGCTAGAATTTTTGCTGGAAATATTTAATACGTCCTCAGTGGCTTCAGAATATCAAATCACTGATAATGATATCCATGTCAAATGGCGTTACAAAGCTATTTCAATTAAAAGTGAAGCAGGTTTGTTGATTCGTGGTAATCATAAAATAATATGGACATCTTTGTCCTGATCTGTCCCAATTAGTTTTTGAAGTCGGGACTGAATCTTAACCAGATTCAACTAAACGTCTCTAATTTAAGTAGAGCGACTACCATCTGCCCTCCATTACTAGCTTAGGCTAATATTAATAACATCACCATGGCATCACCATTGGCATCATTTATAACCCTTTGTCTAGATTTAGCATAACGTATGTCTCACGACTTAGCATAAGTTTTATCATGCTCTCCGAGGGATGGCCGCCACAAAAAATCCCGGAAGATGCATTAGCACTATTTGCTCGTCACGGGTACCGAACCCGTGACACGTTGCACATCAGCTAGTCATTCTACCATAGTCTAGTCATACCTGGGATATTTTAATGTATAACTAAGAGCATAGACTACTAAATGTACGACATGATTATGTTTGTATTGTTATATATTATTGTAAGGAAAAGTGTAATGTATTACAATTCATCACTCTGATATTTAACGAAAAAAATATTACTTAGAAGAAATACTCGTTGAAACTAGCATGGTTCTTTTAGACGCTTGTTGCTATCCTAATAATTAAAACATCTACTAAACCACCGTGATTTAGTTCTAATACCAAGCTTATGTATTTAGGTATAGGTCTCATTTATTTATCATTCGTAAGGTCACATTTACACGTAGATATCTGCGTCCATTACAGTAAAATACATTAAAATCATATTTTAAAGTAGTTGTAGAAAAATAATTAATGAATTATATTACTTTTAAGTTATGGTTGTACGTGTTTGTTTCGTCAGGAAAAGGTAATATCAAATCTACAGAACAAAATCTTGTATTCGTAAAACATGGATTAAGAAGTAGCAATATTGAAAGACTAACAACGTGCATAAATGAAATGCTACCTAGTTATACTAATTTTATATCGTATACTGAAATAAATGAACACCTACTTAAATAAAATATGATATCGTATGTTAAAGTTAACGTATGAAATTATAGTAGTAATTAATGTATGTAATCTTTCCAGTACATTTTTACAACAAATGAAATATTCCCTTTTCCCAAATAAATCCTATGTCGTATACTGTAAAAACAAAATATTAAAACGGACGTAGATATTTACTGAGTAATATTTTGTTTTCAATTACAAAAAAACAAAAGTATGTCGGTTCCATCGGTCGACTAATCAATTAGGTTACAGTCACGTTCTCTACCAGTGGACTATATAATTATTGACCCTACATAGACCTATAATTACGCTAGCTATCACAACAATTACCTAGGGTCGTAAATATTTAACACAAAATCAATTGCTTGGGCGCTGTAGCAGTAGAATCCATTAGCATATTGTTATTTCAATTCGCGAGCTTATTTGTTAAATGAATGATCTGTGGTGGTTATCACACAAGTAATTGAGTGAAATGGTAAAAAGAAACAATGTACTCACATTTCCTATTCTTAGGAATCTCTGGCAGCTTTCTTCGTTTGCGTTCGCCGTTCGTGAATGCGTAATGCTGTGGGCTCCGCTGCGTTTCTGTAATATCTGGCTGTGAAGGCGTTGATGATATTTCCTCTTTTACCGTTGTGGTTGCAGCGTTTCCATCCACCATGCATGGATGCATGTCCTCTTTAGTGTCATCTTCCGGCGTACACTCGCTCTTGGAAGACGGGGAGTCATCTTCCAGGCCAACATTTGGCACTAATCTGAAAAAGTATGATAAATCCTTCACTTTCCTGTTCATATTTTACATGACAAAATATAGTTTTATATTATTTTACAACATTGTGCGCATATGAAGTCTTTATTACAACCTCACGTGACAATTAATCGGAGTAGAACGTGATTCCTTGAGTGAGTTGTAACGTGCCGAGTATGAAAATAATGTGGGAAGGTGTACTTACGAATAAAATGGTGTTGGAGCTTTTATATGTTGAGGTAATCTATCGAAAACACGGCGAAATTCTTCAAATTCGCTATCAGCCATGTCGCTTTACACCTGATTGTTGGGGATAGAGAGTGCCGCATGCGCGACCTGCCCCCCGCAACTGTATCGACCGAGTACGTAGGACGTGGCTCGCTGTGCGCATGTTCGCCCCTAGTGCGCGCCTCGCTTACACCCCTGCAGGGCGCACGCGTGCACTTCTCACCCCTACATTAACACGCGTCCGTGTGTTTCACCACGGATGATGCATCAGCGGGAAATCCATTCAAAACTTAGGGTTGTCAAAATGTAATTTACACAATTCATACGCGCTAGCGTTAAGCCAACCAACTGACATAGTATGTTAAAAAAGTGCAAAATTGATCAATCGAGAATATTAACACGTTAAACGCCATGGGTTTACTGGTGATTGAGGACGATTTACTTTCAATAGTTTTCTATTGCCATTCAGAAGCTTAATAATGTTTGCAATAAAACATTCTTTTGTATACTTACATATTTAGTTAAGGTTACTTAATCTTAATAACACCTTATAACAATGCCATATCGTTGAAGTGGCAAAACTTTTTCCTACATTCGTATATGATAATTGAAAGTTGAATGCGTCCTTCTACTTCATTGAACTAAGATTATAGTAATTTCATGACACTGAAGCCAGGTGCTCTCGTCAAAGTTTATCGCACAATTACCCTACAAACATTTATTTTATTATTTAATGTATGAGAATTCTACTGCTGGACGCCGTCAGTTGTCAAAGATCTATACGTGATACGTATAATAACATAGCGTTGAAATACATTATCTTATTAGTCGCACGTCTTTAGTTTTTTTATTTCATACTTAATTCGTCGAAGTGTAATTTGATATAATTATCTTATTTATAAATGCGAAAATTTGTGAGTTTGTGTGTATTTGTTATCTACTCAGGCACGTCAAAGCGGCTGAAGGGATTGGTATGAAATTTGGTACAGGGTTTTTTTTTAAGTACTCTTTTTTGGTATATGTATAGATTATGGTCTGTAATACTTGTTGTCCCTCGAGAACACGGGTGAAGCCGCGAGCAGAAGCTAGCATTGAATAATTATTTTTCTGTAATTAAAATTTACCCAATTAAAACGTTTTTAATTTTGTTCCATCCTATGTATATATATTTAATGCTAAATTTTCAAGGAACATGACTAATCTAATTCTAAATCCCCAAGTGTTGCAAGCATACATAGGCTAAGGTAACCGCTTACCATCAGGTGGGCCGTGTGCTTTTTTGCCACCGTCGTGGTATAAAAATCTCTGCTCTTTGTGACCAGTAAGTTCAACTGTTGCTCTGCTGATCATTAACGACACAGTTTTGTACATAACGATTGAACTATGGAGAACTACTTGAAAGAGACGAACCTCTGAGTTTGTTTCGGCATTTCTTCAGAAAGTAGTCAGTTAGGAAATGTCGATCGCATCGTTCATTAAAAAAATATACATGTATAAGTGCTGCATTCTAGCCTATTTGCAGAAACAAAATACCTTGTTTCACTTGTTAGATATTATAGTGCTTGAGTCAACCCTGAATATTAAACACTTTCGATGAGCGAGAGTGGATATCAACTCCCACGTTTCATTAATGAAGATATTGTTTCCTACGCTTTGTTTGGAAAGTATCGAGGTCGATTATACACAATGTATACAAATACATATTCTCTATACAACTTCCATCGGTTATAAGTAGCATGGTAGGACAATCAAGTGCTGCGTAACTGGCGAGTTCATTCCTACAAATGTTTGTGTATTTTGCAGATATTTCTTACTCGTTTCCCTAAACTCAATTCAGATGACACTTAATTCTAGTAAAAAAACCATAGCACTAACTTAGCTTTTTATTGCTTTAAAAGATTAATTTCATAAAACGTGTTCATTAATTGTTTCAAAGGGCACCAAGTTTGCAATAGATTTGCCCTGAAATTAAATTTTCTCCGTCCGACTTTTCCATCCCTAGAGAATAGCGTTAATACCAAGTTTTAATGAGATCAGATCAGTCATGATTTTTATATTATACATATTCCACTTTCATATTCTTTGCTTAGGGTACAATTTCAGAAAACACTAACGTAGTACTGAACTAGTCCTCGTTAATCTTGTTCTCGTGGGATAAAAGTAACCTTGCGTTATTCTAGACCAGAATCTAGGTATGGTATATATATACCAGAATCTAGGTATCTTTCAGCTATGGTATGTAGCTACCTAAACAATTATGCCTAGACTAGACTACCTTATTGGCCGAGTGGTTGCAAGTGCGCCTACCGGGCAAGGGGTCTCGGGTTCGATTCCCGGGTCGGGCAAAGTAATACTGCGTTATTTTTTTTTAAATCTCAGTAGCAACATAGAATCTGGAATTACATGAGACTCATAACATTTATAAGGAAATGTGGGTATTAGGTACTTTGTACAGTGGCATTAAGTGCCGTAATACACCTCTACATCCCCTTTTATGTTATGTTATCAATTATGGATTGAAAAGCTATTTATTATATGATATGATTGGTTCGGGTATCTTATTAATATTGTACATACAAGTTTGTGCTTAAGTTACAAATATACATACAAACTGACTCACAGACTTTCGTGTTTACAATATTATTAATATACCCAAACTACCAATCATAAGGGCTTTCCAATCCATAACCCATAATTATTTAGATCAATAGGTATAGAATTATATTCTTTATTCATTTATATTTGCTTACCCATTTGATAAAAACTTCAACGAGTGTTTTTGTATATCTTGAGTAGATAGACTACTACTCGATACTCTATCGTATTAGCTTCATGAAAATTTTCAATAGAATTTCATTTTCTTTAGAAAGGATTTGGATATTTATTAAGAAGAAACTGGAAGCCTATTTATAATAGTCATCTAACTTCGAGATGAAGTTGAAGAAGTCTTTGTGCTCTAAGAATTATCTACATAAAACGATTTCACGATAACTAAAGTTTCTCCTTGTAAGCAAAGATAACAGCGTCTTAAGAACGAATTAAATCAGCCCTAACTTTTTTGTTTAGGTACATAGAGAAGCGCAACTGTCGAGGAAGGGGTCTAGAGTTTAATTCCTGAGTTGGGCAAAACATTACTAGAGGTAAATGATATACCTAATAATGGTATTTAGAAGTCGCGGAGAACCTAACGGGTAACCGAGGCTCCGGCTCGACGTGCAGGAGAAGGAACGGGGTGGTTTTTAGTCAGTAAGAGTCTGACACTCCTTCTCGCCTCACCCAGGCGGGAGCAGTCATTCGATGATTTTCCCCCCTTAAAAAAATGGTATTTAGTAAATTCTCAGTAGTAACACGGACTCGCGGTGCCCAGTATAAGACAACAGGCGCATAATTTCTTACGACATGGGTATTTTAACTGCGGTGGGAGTTACAATGAACAGGTATTTGGTAACACTTCTTCGAGGTTTAAAAGGCGTACATTTTATAATGTGTTTGTCGTTTGATCTATAACCAAATATTGGCCGAATTGCTGTCTTATAATATACTAAATACATAGCGCAAGAGTAAATAGATAAGTTTAACATTCCCAACACGTAGGTTATGGTTCATTTTCATTAGAGTTAAACTCACTTATGTACCATAATGCAGCATAACTTTCTTTGCTTCTGTTATATCTGTGTTTATGTGATGGTAATAAAGCTATTTATTATAAGAAAGCACAACAAAAAGTCGTAGGAATCTTGATATTATATTAATCTAAGTAAGAAAATACCCTAACAAAGAATCATCTTCACAATAAACGATATCAACTCTCTTTGCTTATTGATTTACAACAGGGTCATAGCTTTAGACAATATTTATGTAACTGTTTATATGAAAAGTAGATTTGTTTGTTAGATAAAAAAATACATTTAGTACAAGAGGCTCTTATGCGTTTGAGGTCGGCGGAGACTATTGTGACGTCTGGCGGAGAGGCTTAGCGTGTTGACAAAACTCTTGGGACGTGCTCTCTTCTCGACCGACAGGATGAGCGATTACGAACCACAGCAAACACTGCGACTGGCTTTTCAGTTATTTTTAGACATTGCGAATTTCCATTCATGTCAAATTGTAACGTACTTTTCTCATAAACTGTAAATGACTTATGACTGAATGACGATCTTTGTTTAACCGACTTCAAAAAAAAAAGATAGAGGAATTGGACTTCAATTTGACCTGTATGTATACTTGTATGTACTTACCCACATACAAGTATACATAGTCGCGGAGAACCTAACGGGTAACCGTGGCTCCGGCTCGACGTGCAAGAGAAGGAACAGGGTGGTTACATACCCATGTGCGGTGGAAACATACCGATGTTTGTGCGCAATTATCTCGCGATTGGCTGAACCGGTTTTGATGAGTTTTTCAGAAAAGTGTGTTCAGAAAAGTGTTACGCTTAGGAGGAAGTTTTAGTATATTAATTAACGGACTTAAAAAAGAGAAGGTTGAAGTCGGTTTTTTACTTTTTACATATTAGTTTATAAATGAGGTATGATATATAATAACTTGTAACTTTATAGTTAATCTCTAGTCTAATTATGTTTTAAATCAATAATGGTGCGAAAGGTGAATGATATTATTCGAAACATCGACAAATTAAAAGGTAAATATAAATTTATCTTCTTCTTTGTTATCTTGTCGCGTTTAAATTACTGGAAGGTTATTTGTACAAACACAGCGGTCTCTAGAGGCGGTTATAAGTTATTTTTAGAAATCAAAGCTCGAGAGCGGAAAATCCCCTATTTTCCGCCTTTGAGTTTTAATTTGATTGACACAATCAATATTGTATACTTAAATGTGAATGGTACAGTCTGTGAACAGCCATAAAATATATTCTGAACTTAGTAATAAGTTAAAATAGGTATAATCTAAAATATTTTGCTTTTCTTTTCTTTTTTTTAAATCACAGTCACACACTAGGATTTCCTCCTGTGTCGTGGATGCGTTTACAAACACAAGTTCATCAATTTCAACAATTTGTGGATCACACAACGTATTGTTCCGTGCGGGAATCGAACCCGCGACACGTTGCACGGCAGCCAGTTGTCCAGCCA